CACTGTGCCTCATTTCTTTTCGCGATTTCTTCAATGTTTGGTCAAATGTACGATAAGCAGATCCTCGTTTCTTGTTGCACGTAGTATGTCATACGCTGATTGTCTCCCCTTGAACTTATCTGCACACCATTTCAAATTACGGGTGCGCGAAAGTGCAATAAAGTATGATTGAAGAAAATAAGAATATTTTCTGTACAATTTTATAGCATTTTCATTTTCTACAAATTTCAGAGTAATGTACTTTTATAAAATTGAAAATTATTAAATCAAATGCTCAATGCTCCATATCACAACACACTTAGCAAAATTTTAAAAGGCTATACATTTAAATGTTACGAAATAAAACCATAGGGAATTAACAGAAGATAACTGATAACTGACATTCATTAGATATGGCACGTGGAACTAGAACAGTCTACCCCAGTGAGCTAAATAAAGGGTTCAGTTCGACATTCCAACCACCTGAAGAAATGTTGTGATAAATATGGCAACAAAAATGAGGACAATAGTATTGAAGAATTTTAGGAGATGTGGGGTCCATTGGAATCGTAAATACGATCCAAATCATCAGACCTACAAATTCAAAATGAAAACAGAAAAAACAACTCCTAAAATTCTCTCTGTTAAGGTTTCATCTCCCTCCTCCTCATACTTACACTTTCTCTAAATTCTGTTTTGATTTCCGGAGTTGTTTTTTCTGTTTTCATTTTGAATTTGTAGGTCTGATGATTTGGATCGTATTTACGATTCCAATGGAATAAATTATGACCATGGAATATTAGTGTTTAAGCCTTTTTTTATATATATATATATATATATATATATATATATATATATGTAAATACAATTTAATCGCTATCTCTCTCTGACTATCTCTCACTCTCTGTTTCTCTCTCTCTCTCTCTCTCTCTCTATATATATATATATATATATATATATATATATATATATATATATATATAGGTGTGCTATATTTATGGGATAAAGTGCTCACATATCAGAGACAGAGCGTATGTAAATATAAATATAAAAGTGAACATTGAAGTCAGAGGCGACAGGCTGTTTCATGCTAGATGCAATCGTCAGGCCTGTCACATCTGAGTGTTGACTTCAATGTTCACTCTGTTCAAGACACGTGAAAATTCACATTGATGCTATGCCTGTTGGCCTTGGGTATTTCCATTTCAGATGCAACCATATATATATATATATTTTTGAATTTGTAGGTCTGATGAATTGGATCGTATTTACGATTCCAATGGAATAAATTATGACCATGGAATATTATATATATATTATATATATTTATATATATATATATATATATATATATATATATATATATATAAAATATGAACCTAAAGAGCCAGGTAAACGAGCTAGGTTTCACCTATACGGATCGTCAGGGTCAAAACAAGTATGACCACGTGACTAAAAAAATATCAACTAAGTAAAACCGTAACTTAACAACGGCTGGGGGGAGGTTATATTTTATTCAATAACGGAACAAAAAAAAAAACTATTTAAATAACCATCGTTTCCTATGTCTACACCTACTCAGGATTTCCGATTTTAGATTTAATAAATTATTGTTTTTTTTATTCTTAGCAATAGTTAACTTTTCCTCTGTGCATAGTGAACAAAATTCATCACCTGCTTTATACCTGTGACATTTTTTTTTAATATTTCCCATTTCAAAATGGCGTCTTTAGTATCCTCTTGTTTGACGTTACATACATAAGTAGATAAAGTAATGCTCTGTTTGTATGTTTCGTTATTAAAACTACTAATGTGGTTATAGTATCGTGCTTTAAAATTATTTTGGGTAGATCCTATATAGACCTTAGGATTTTTATCAGTATTGTTTAGTTTATCCTTATATACTTTTACTTGGTATACCACGCACCCTTATTGGCACTTGCCCTGGAAGGGGAAGGCTTCCTTATTCCTACTATTACACTTGGTTATCGCATGTGGTTTGTCCTTAATTTTTCTCATATTAAATCTATTAATCAAACTGGTCACATTATGCATACAACTATAGCTTAATTTGATGTTGTTTTTATTAAACCTATATAACTATTTATATTATTAATATTAAGGATTTCAAATTTCTAGGGTTTAAAATCGAGATTTCTTCCAAACTAAAAATAGTAAACTTCCGAGACGTTACTTTTAATCTGAACAAAAACACTTATAAACCCTTCCAAAGGGAAAACCAATCACCCATATATATAAGTATCTACTCTAACCACTCGAAATCAATAATTAAACAAATTCTAAATACACTAAATGCAAGAATAAATAAACTCTCCTCTTGTAAAACCATTTTTAACCAAAATAAATCGGAATATAATATTAAAAAGTAAATTTAAACAAACACTAAATTACAGAGATAAGTCAGTAAATAAAAAAACCACTAAATCCAAAAATAGGAAAAGGAAAATTATATGGTTCAACCCACCTTTTTGTAACCTCTCCAATATTAATATAGGTAAATACTTCATAAAACTGATAGAAAAACACTTTAGCAAAAATAAACTTTTAAAAAAGATTTTCAACAAGATGAATTTAAAGATTAGCTATTCTTGAATGAACAATATGGAGAGAATTATTAGCTCACACAATAGTAAAATCTTGAGAGAACTTCATGAGAATCTAATACAAAATCATAATACAACCCAAATGAAAACATCAACATGCAATTGCAGGACAGGATCAGAGTGCCCTGTTGAAGGAGCATGCATGGCGGAAAATGCAATATATAAGGCAATAATTTTCCCCAAAGAGAATGTT